CGCTTGCGCTATCCATTTCGCTACCGACGCCACTCTTCCCTTCTCAGCCTAATGGCATTTTGTGCCATAGCCTTACATCGCCCACACGTGCTGTAAGGCTAGGTATGCGAGTTCGAGTCCCGTCCCGGGTCCGACTTTTGCCAATATCTCAGCATTCTTGTGATAACTACAGCCCATATTCAACCTCCTCCTGAATGGGTACGTGACAAGACAATCGTCGTACGCCGTGTCCGTATGCGACGCGTCTGACCTCGCGCAAGTATGGAGTTCGTAGATGAAGACAACAGACAATGTATAGCCAAAAATAGCCATAGATGCCGTACTACACATAGAATCCTGCGCTCTAAACCTTAGGCTAAGGCAATGTGAGAAAACGCAGCGCGTGACGAAGCGAGATTACGACTGTAGCGCCCGTCTCCCCTCCCCCTCCCAAAGGTCTCTCTCCCCAGTACTCAACTCTCTGATGACCGGTTATTCACAAATCCGCCCCATATTACCGGTTGTGGCTTTGAAGCAAGGCGGTATTGGAGTGGCAAGTGGTAACCTTAACACGCGCGCGATCTTGGGGTCAAACCCGAACCGGCTTTTCCTCAAGCCCTCTAACCTCCGGACAGTAAACTGGTTTCAGAATAAGATAAGAATAGTTTAGTTAGGATAAGAACACTGACATCAGCTGGCCCCTGTAATTCATTCTGTAGGCCGTATCGCATTCAACAAGCCATTACGACTTTAAATAGAAGTAGAATGTGTGCCGCATCCCAAAAAGATTGGATCAGCGCCAAGAACACTACCCCTTTTTACTGTATCGCTTCAAATATATCCAGCCGTCAATTAATTCCCGAACGCAGCATTTCTGATTCCTCCCGGAAATAATGTAGTGCCAAATCGGCCCTACATTATTTCCGAGTGGAATGAGATGCAAATGTAAACGAAGGGAAGGTTGAATAATAGTTACACCTACGCATGAGCGAACACCATTCAACTCGTGACCGGTCACCAATCCGCCTATAAGTACAAGGGACAAAATCCCAGCGATGTGATGGAGAACACTTGGGGACCGTAGGTAAGCATTTCCAGGTAAGCAATGTCGTCGATCAAAGACGTACAACGGAATAATGATAAAACCCTACGCAGAAGACAGTGCGGCACCACAAACCAGTACCACAGAGGATGCACCGAACTCAGTTTCTTTTTTACGATCTCTATGCTCAATGCTTCTTTCTTCTATGCTTCTTTCGCCTAAGATGGCGACGAAAAAGATCAGAGCTGATGTGTTATCATGAATTGCCAGTGATTTTCATGGCTTTTTCGAAAAGTACCAACGAATGAACTAGTCATTCGATAGATTTCTAGGTGCCGGGGGGGGGGGG